GGACGGCCCAAGGAGGCGCACAGGAGGGGGCCAAGACGACTCCAAGGCGGCCTCCTCACGGTCCCAGACGGCTCCAAGACAGCCCCACGAGGACCCCGATGGGCCCAGGACGGCCTACGGACGCGCCCATGAGGGGCCCACGACGAACCAAGACGGCCCCATCAGGGCAAACGGCGCCCTCAAGACGGGCCTAGACGGCTCCAAGACGGCCCTTTGAGGGAGCCAACGCGGCCCCACACCCTTCGGGCGCACACTTGGGGGGGCTGGGAGCTTGCGACAAGTCTCCCACATTCATTGTCCTGCCCCATTCTGTTCGCCTGGAGGCCTCCTCCAACCCTGTGGGCGAACAAGAGGAATCCCAGCGGGACGCCAACCCTGGGGCCCGTGGGCCCCGCGCCGCTTGGGCAGAAGACGAACGCCGGGTCTGACAGGCCAGCTACCGCCCCCCTTTGCCCGATATGCTGTGCCATTCTGTTCCCCCAGGGGCCTTGGCAAACTCTTCGGGCCAAGCAGACCGGACCCCTGGGACAGCAGCCAATTGATATGACCCTGGGACCTCTCCGCATTCTTCGGACGAGCATCTGGGGGGCCCAGGAGATTCGGACATGTCTTCCCCATTCCTTGCCCTGTCCCGTTCTGTTCGCCCGAAGGCCTCCACTGACCCTCTGGGCGAACAGAATGGGACATGGCGAACAAACCCTCCCGTTGGCGGTGATGCGACTGGATCGCACCATCAAGGCGCGCCCGGAGGTGATGGCCGACCCAACAGCGGTTTCTCTTAAGAGTTCACTGGATTTCAAATTTTCTTGAAGCTCTCTTGGGCCCTCCCTGTAGATCCTTGCGAGCCTCCCCGGCGCTTTCGGTGGCTTTCCCCGATGGCCTCCCGAGCCCTTCCCCGAGCGCTCCTGAGACGCCTCAGATGGGCTTCGACTTCGACGCACATCCCCGAGAGACTTCGAAACTGTCCTCAATAGGAGGGGGGTGAACGAGCAGTGCGCTGGGCCAAGCTGCTGCAGCGCTGCAAGAGCTCGGACACGAAGGCGCGGTCTCGCTGCCGCCGCCCGAGCCGCCGCCGTGTTTGTAGATTTTCGGTACAATCTGCGCCGTTCCTCCGAGAACCATTCCAGAAAGATGTCGTGGACGGAGTCCACGGGTCAGCCCTAGTCTCTACTACATTGCAGGGCCCAGTGCGTGCCAGAAGGGCGCAGGCCCCAATGCACCGAAACCGCCCCGGGCTGGCCCCGGGCCGCCCCGGGCCGCCCAGGCAGGCTCCAGGACATGTCGAGAGGGCCCCCAGAAGCCCCCAAGACGGCCCCGGAGAGCCCCGGCACGCTTAAAGATGGGCCCAAGACGCCCGAGATTCGCCCCAGACGGCCCAAGAGGCGTCCAAGACGCCCGAAGAGGCCTCCCAAGAGGCCTCCCAAGAGGGCCCCGAGCGACAGAAATCGTCGATTTCTATTGTGTTTTTCGATGTTTTCGGCCTCCTCGCCTCTTCGGCTTCCCGACGCTCCAAGACGGCCCAAGAAGTCCCCCCGACCGCTCCAAGACGGCCGAAGAGGACCCCAAGAGAGCCCCAAGACGGGCCAGGAGGGCCCCAGGACGGTCCCAAGACGCCCCAGGACGGCCCCAGGACGGCCCAGGAGGCGCCCCAGACGGCCCAAGAGGCACCCAAGACGGCCCCAGGAGCGGCCCAAGACGGCCCAAGACAGCCCAAGAGGCGCCGAGGCGGGCCTCAGACGGCCCCAAGACGGCCCAAGAGGCACCCAAGACGGCCCGAGAGGGCCCTAAGAGCCCCCGGGAGGCCCAAAAGAAGGCCGAAGAGGCTCCGAAACGGCCCCCACGAAGCCTTCAGTGGCTTCAGAATTCCCTCCAGGAGCGGGGGAGCGGACGAGAGGCGACAGGCATATCGCAGGCAAAAACGCCCCAAGAGATCCCCAAACGGCCCCCACGAAGCCCTAAGTGGCCTCAGAATTGCTTCCAGGAGGGGGGGAGCGGACGAGAGGCGACCGGCATATCGAAGGCACAAAAGAACAATGTTGGACGCTCCGAGGGCCTTCGATGTTTCTCTGTTGGGGAGAGTCGTCGTAGGATCGACGATTGCCGACCGAGGGCATGGAGAATCCAGCGAAAGAGGAGAAGCAGGTGGAAGAGGAGAGGAGGAGGAGGAGGCGGAGGAGGAGGAGGAGGAGGAGGAGGAGGAGGGAGGAAGCAGCAGGACCTCCGAGCAGCAGCAGCAGCTGATTGCCTTTCGGCCCTGCAGCCGCACCCCCCCGCGCTTGCCCAGAGACCCCTCGCCACGTCGAGCTGATGTCGTGGACGGAGTCCACAGGTCTGCCCTAGTCAGCTACAGCGCTGGGATCAGCGCGTGCGAGAAGGGCGGGCAGTGGCAGGCGGCGCTTGCGCTGCTGAGCGAGATGTGGGAGGCGAAGCTGAAGCCCAACGTCATCTCTCCTACAATGGCCGGACCAGCGCTCGCGGAGGTCCCGATCGATGGCAGCGGACCGGCACCCTCCAGCGGCCCCTGCGAGCCTCTGCAGGCCTCGGCGCGCTTCCAAGATGGCCCGAGAGCGATCCGAGACGCCCCAGGAGGCCCCCAAGAAGACTCCAAGCGGGCTTCACGACGAGCCCCAAGAGAGCCCGAACATCGACAAATCGTCCCATTCCCTCGGGAGAACGTACATCTTGGCAGTTCCCGGGCTTGCCCTCTTAATAGCGTCCAAGACGGCCATACATGGGCCCAAGATAGCCCCAGGGCTCCTGAGGCGCGCCAGTTGCGGCCCACGGGGTACCCAAGACAGCCTCAAGAGCAACCCAGAACGGCCCAAGACGACCCCCAGACGGTGCCTAGACTGCTCCAGAGACGCCCACGGCGGCCCCAGGCAACCCCCAGACGGCCCCGTCAACGCCTCAGACGGCCTCCAGACGGCCCGAGAGGCTTCCAAAACGCTCCAAGTGGGCTCCACGAAGAGCCTCAAGAGAGCCCCAACATCGACAAATCGTTTCATTCCCTAGGGAAAGCGTACGTTTTGGCAGTTCCCGGGCTTGCCCTCGTAACAGCGTCCAAGACGGCCATACATGGGCCGAAGGTAGCCCCAGGACGGCTCCTGAGGCGCGCCAGTTGCGGCCCACGGGGTACCCAAGACAGCCTCAAGAGCGGCCCAGGACGGTGCCCGGACTGCTCCAGAGACGCCCACGGCGGCCCCAGAACCCCCCAGACGGCCCCGGACCGCCTCCACACAGCCCAGGGGGCACCCGAGACAGCCCAAGAGGACCCCACGAGGCTTCCAGGAGGCCGAAAAGAAAGGCTGAGAGGCTCTGGTGCCCCGCGCGCTTCCAAGCTGGCTTGAGAGCGCTCCGAGCCGCCCTTGGAGGCCCCCAAGAGGGCCTGAAGACGGCCGAAGACGGTCCAAGAGGACCTCCGAGATTGGCCACGAGCGCTCGAAGATGCCCAAGACAGCGGCCCGACGGCCCAAGAGGCCTCCAAAATGCTCCAAGTGGGCTCCAGAGAGAGCCTCAGGAGAGCCCGAACAAGGAAGAATCGTCCCAATCCTTATGGAAAACATGTATTTCGGGAGTTCCCGTGCTTTTTGTCTTCGAAGCGTCCAAGACGGCCACACGAGCCCTCAAGATCGTCCCAAGGCGCCTCAGGAGGCTGCCAGGAGGGCCCCAAGACGGCTCGAGACTGCGCCAGGACGGCTCCTCAGGGCCCCATGGCGACCCCAAGAGGGGGCCAGGACAGGGTCGGAGCGCTCCCGAGGGGCCCCAAGAGGGGGCCAGGAGGGCCCCAAGAGGGCCCTAACAAAGCCCCATGACGCATGTACTTGACGCACCTGTCGCAAGTCCAGGAAGCATATCAAGTGCTCCATGAGACGTCCCCAGAACCTTCCCCAGAGGGCCCCGGGGCCCCGGTGCGCTTCCAAGATGGCTCAAGAGCGCTCCGAGCCGCCCCCGGAGGCCCCCAAGAGGGCCCGAAGACGGTCCTGGAGGGCCTCCGAGACGGGCCTCGAGCGCTCGAAGACGCCCGAGACAGCCGCCCGACGGCCCAGGAGGCCCACAAAATGCTCCAAGTGGGCTCCATAGAGAGCCCAGGAGAGCCCGAACAAGGAACAAGGAACAATCGTCCTAAGACGCCTCAGGAGGCTGCCAGGAGGGCCCCAAGACGGCTCGAGACTGCGCCATGACGGTTCCTGAGGCGCCCATGGCGGCCCCAAGAGGAGGGCAGGACGGGGTGGGATCGCTCCCGAGGGGCCCCAAGAGGGGGCCAGGAGGGCCCCAAGATGGCCCCGACAAGGCCCCCAAACGCATGTACTCGGGTGCCTATCTCGCAAGCCCAAGAAGCATATCAAGTACATGCGGTTTGGGGCCCCCTTGGGCCCCCCTCGGGGCGCTCTTGCGGCCCTCTTGAGGCCTTCGGGCCCCTCCAAGACAGGGCCGGGCGCATTCTGCCACAGAAAGGCCTCTCGTGGCAGAATGGTGGGCCCGCGCCCGGCGGCGTCCTGGGGCCTTCTTGGAGCTCTCTTGGACCCAAAACAGCCCCAAAGGCGGCCCCAGACGGCCCGAAGACGGCCCAATAGGCGTCCAAGACGGCCCACGACGGCTCCAACACGGCTCCGAAGGCACGCAAGACAGCCCCAAGAGCAGCCAAGACGGTCCAAGACAGCTCCCAGACGGCCCAAGAGGCGCTCAAAATTGCCCAGGACGGCTCCAAGAGGCCCCCACACGGCCCCTAGGAGACCCTAACTGGCTAACCGTGGGATCATCGCGCAGGGGCGCCGCGCGCCCGAACCACCTCCCCGCAAGCGTTCTGTGTCTTGCCGCCGCCGCCGCCGCCGCCGTCATCGTCCCCGTCGGGCGGCGCCGGCAGGCGCCACGGAGCGTGCTGGTGCAGCTCGGGGCGCTGCTGTGGAAGGGGCGGATCACCTTTCGGCACCATTCCCGCCGCTCCCCCCTAGAATACTCTTGGCCAGATGTCGTGGACGGAGTCCACGGGTCAGCCCTAGTCAGCTTTAATGCTGGGATCAGCGCGTGCGCGAAGGGCGAGCAGTGGCAGCGGGCCCTGGCGCTGCTGGGCGAGATGTGGGAGGCGAAACTGGAGCCCAATGTCATCAGCTACAGCGCTGGGATCAGCGCGTGCGCGAAGGGCGAGCAGTGGCAGCGTGCGCTGGCGCTGCTGAGCGAAATGGGGGAGGCGAAGCTGGAGCCCAATGTCACCTCTCCTACATGGCCAGTGGAAGCGCATGCGAGAATGGTTCACATGGCCTCGTTTGCATCAAATCGCCTCTTTACACCACCACGGGGCCGAATCGCTCAGGCCGGTCCCAGAGGCGCTCCAGAGGGGTTCCCAGACCGTCCAAGAGCGCTCCAAGACGGCCTCAGTGGGTCCCGAGACGGCCCACGAGGGCCCCCCGAAGCCTTCTGGGGGGGCTCCACGACGATCCAAGAGGCCGCAAAGACGTCCCACGAGGGCCCTGAGCGCACGCCAAAGAGGCACACATCGTCAAATTTCTATGGGAAAACGTATATTTTCAGCATGCCCGCCTTGTGTGCTCCTCAGCGGCCCAGGACACTTCAAGAGGCCTCCCACATCGCCCCAAGAAGACGCCAGCGGCCCCTCAGAGGGCTCCAAGACGGCCCACAAGAGCCCCAAGACGACGCCAGAGAGAAACTGCCTCATAGAACCACAAGACGGCCCCAAGAGAGCTCCGAGGGGGCCCCAAGAGGCTACCAAGACGGCCTGAGGCAGCCTCAAGAGAGCTCCAAGACGGTCCAAGGCCTTCCGACCGCTCCGTGACGGTCCAAAATGGCCCCGAAACGTACCAAAACGCTCCCAGAGCAGCCCAAACAAGCCTCAGAATGGCTCGAACAAGACCCCCACAAGGACCACCAAGCAGGCCCAGAGACGCCCTCTAGAAGAGCGATCTGTGAAGTACAAAGCTCTTTTGGCAAGGCTCCCAAGAGCGAGACGCAGCGTAGAGAGCTCTACCAGGCACAGCTCCCAAGAGCGAGCGGTGACGTCGGGACACCCTTCCGACCTCTCATGCAGGAGCACGCACGCGCAGCACGCAAGCACAATAGATTTCCTGGGCTGTCCTCCGGAAGAGGCTCGGGGGGACAGCCTGGGAACGGCCCCAGAGGCGCCCAACAACAATTTCAAGAGTAAAGGCCCCCAGGAGGCCGCAAGACGGCCCAAGAGGCCCCAAGAGGCCCGGAGGCCGCAAGATAGCCAACGAGGCCCCAACAGGCCCCCAGGAGCTCGAAAAGAAACCCCGAGAGGCCCACTAACCGTTACCAAGGAGACGGCAGCGCCCGCCATCAGGCTTCGAAGAGGCAATCGGAAAAAAGTCACCAGAGCCCTCCGGGTGACTTCTTTCAAGGCCCCAGGTGCTTTCAAAATTGACAAGCGGCGAGACGTACACCGCAGACCCTCCATAGCCGTCTGTGACGCTCCGAAGGCTGTCTAGGCGGAGGTAGAGCGGAAGGCGGATGAGGAGAAGGAAGCGGTCCAAGAGGGCCTCCGCGACGGCCCAAGACCGCTCGAAAACGCTCCAGACGAGCCGCGGCAAGCGAAATCATTGATTCTTCTATGGTTTCTTGAAGATTTCCACCTTCTCGCCATTTCGAGCGAAGACAGGCCCAAGACGGCCTTTTTGAGCCAAGACTGGCCCAAGATGACGTGGACGAAGTCCACGGGTTCGCCCTAGTCTATACTATATGGCGATCACATCCGTGTGCGAGAAGGGTGGGGGCCCAAGTGGGTAAAACCGCCCCTTTTCGGCCCCACCACGGGGTCGAAGCGCCCGTGACCGGTCCCAGAGGCGCTCCAGAGGGGTTCCCAGACCGTCCAAGAGCGCTCCAAGACGGCCTCAGTGGGTCCCGAGACGGCCCACGAGGGCCCGAAGCCTTCGGGGGGGGGCTCCACGACGATCCACGAGGCCGCAAAGACGCCCCAAGAGGGCCCTGAGCGCACACCAAAGAGGCACACATCGTCAAAATCCTATGGGAAAACGTGTATTTTCAGCATGCCCGCCTTGTGTGCTCCTCAGCGGCCCAGGACACTTCCCAAATCGCCCCAAGAAGACGCCAGCGGCCCCTAAGAGGGCTCCAAGACGGCCCACAAGGGCCCCAAGACGATTCCAGAGAGCCCTGAAACGGCCTCACAGAACCCCAAGACGGCCCCAAGAGAGCTCCGAGGGGGTCCCACGAGGCTCCCAAGACGGCCTCCGGCAGCCTCAAGAGAGCTCCAAGACGGTCCAAGGCCTCCCGAACGCTCCGTGACGGTCCAAAATGGCCCCAAAACGTCCCAAAACGCTCCCAGAGCAGCCCAAACAAGCTTCAGAATGGCCCGAACAAGACCCCCATAAGGACCACCAGACAGGCCCAGATACGCCCATTAAAAGAGCGATCTGTGAAGTACAAAGCTCTTCTCACCAAGGCTCCCAAGAGCGAGACGCAGCATAGAGACCTCTCCCAGGCACAGCTCCCAAGAGCGAGCGGTGACGTCGGGACACCCTTCAGACCTCTCATACAGCAGCACGCACGCGCAGCACGCAAGCACAATAGATTTCCTGGGCTGTCCCCCGGAAGAGGCTCGGGGGGACAGCCTGGGAACGGCCCCAGAGGCGCCCCAAACAACTTCAAGAGAAAAGGCCCCCAGGAGGCCGCAAGACGGCCCAAGAGGGCCCCAAAAGGCCCCTAGGAGGCCGCAAGATAGCCAACGAGGCCCCAACAGGCCCCCAAGAACTCGAAAAGAAACCCCGAGAGGCCCACTAATTAACCGTTCCCAAGGAGACGGCAGCGCCCGCCATCAGGCTTCGAAGAGGCAACCGGAAAAAAGTCACCAGAGCCCTCCGGGTGACTTCTTTCAATGCCCCAGGTGCTTTCAAAATTGACAAGCGGCGAGACGTACACCGCAGACCCTCCATAGCCGTCTGTGACGCTCCGAAGGCTGTCTAGGCGGAGGTAGAGCGGAAGGCGGACGAGGAGAAGGAAGCGGTTCAAGAGGGCCTCCGAGACGGCCCAAGACCGCTCGAAAACGCTCCAGACGAGCCGCGGCAAGCGAAATCATTGATTCTTCTATGGTTTCTTGAAGATTTCCATCTTCTCGCCATTTCGAGCGAAGACAGGCCCAAGACGGCCTTTTTGAGCCAAGACTGGCCCAAGATGACGTGGACGAAGTCCACGGGTTCGCCCTAGTCTATACTATATGGCCGGAGGAACCGCGTGCCGGAAGGAAAAAGGGCCAAATGCCGGGAAACGGCTCCGAGACGCTCCGGAGGCCGCCCCGACGGCCCAAAGACGGCTCCGAGCCGCTCCAAGACGGCTCCGACCCGCTCACGATGCCCCGAAGGCGGCCCAAGAGGGCCCCGAGACGCGCAATGCTTTGGCCAAGACGCCCGAGATTGGCCCAAGACGGCCCAAGAGCTCCCCAAGACGGCCCAACAGGCCTCCCAAGAGGCCTCCCAAGAGAGCCCCGAGAGGCCAAACACGTTGATTTTCATTGGTTTTTTTCCGAGGTTTTTTGCTTCCTCGCTTTTTCGGCTTCCCGACGCTCCCACACCCCTCCAGAGGCATCCAAGACCGCTCCAAGACGGTCCCAGAGGGCCCAAAGACGGTCCAAGGCGGCCCCAGGACGGCCCCAGAGGCGCCCAAGACAGGCCAACGGGACCCCAAGATGGCCCGAAGAGCGGCCCAAGATGGCTCCAAGACGGCCCGAGGACCGCCCAAGAAGGCCCTCGGGGGCCCCAAGACAGCCCAAGGGGCGCGATAGACGAGCCCAGAGAGGCCCAAGAGGCCCCCAGGAGCCCAAAAGAGGTCCCCAAGAGGTGCCACGGGGGCGGACGAGGGGACCGCCTCAGGAGGTTTTGGACGGTTTTGGGCCTCAAAATCATCCGCTTTACGACGGTTTTGGAAGGATTTTGGCCTTCTCGCTTTTTCCGCTTTCCGACGCTCGAAGACGGCCCAAGAGGCCTCCAAGAGCGCCCCAGAACGGCCCAAGAGGTTTCCAAGAGCGCCCCAAGACAGCCCAAGAGGGCCCCAAGACGACCCAAGAGACGCTCAAGACGGCCCACGAGGGCCCGAAGACAGGCCCAAGAGGGGGCCAAGAGGGGGACCACGGACCGAAAATCCGAGCATTCCGCCCCAAGAGGGCGCCAGGAGGCCCAAACAGGCCCCCAAGAGGCCCCAAGGGGCCGCCAAGAATCCCCCAAAGAGGCCCCAGGAGGCTCCCAAGGAGCCCAAACGAGGCCCCAACAGAGGCCCCAACAGCTTCCAAAATGGCCCCAAAGAGGCCTCGAGCCCGCCTCCGAGCTTCCTCGCCGCGAGGGTGCCAACACGGCCCCAGACGGCCCAGGACGGCCCAAGGCGCGCTCAAGACGGCCCAAGACGATTCCAAGACGGTCCCAGGAGGGTGCGCCCAGGACGGCCCAAGGACGCGCCCGGTCGGGGCCTCAAGACGGGCCAAGATGGCAAGAGAGCCCCAGCTGGCAAAAATCGTTAATTTTCCATTGTTTACTGTTACACCCTTTGCGTTTCCCCCCCAGAAAGTCCCAGGAGGGTCCGAGGAAACGCCCAGGAAGGCCCCAAGACGGGCCAAGACGGACCCAGCACAACCCAAGGCGCGCTGCGACGGCTCAAGACGGCTCCAAGACAGCCCCAAGAGGGTGCCAACACGGCCCCTGCTGGGCCCAGGACGGCCCAAGGAGGCGCACAGGAGGGGCCCAAGACGACTCCAAGGCGGCCCCCTCACGGTCCCAGACGGCTCCAAGACAGCCCCACGAGGACCCCTATGGGCCCAGGACGGCCTACGGACGGCCCATGAGGGGCCCACGACGAACCAAGACGGCCCCATCACGGCACACGGTGCCCTCAAGACGGGCCTGGACGGCTCCAAGACGGCCCTTTGAGGGAGCCAACGCGGCCCCACACCCCTCCAGAGGCATCCAAGACCGCTCCAAGACGGTCCCAGAGGGCCCAAAGACGGTCCAAGGCGGCCCCAGGACGGCCCCAGAGGCGCCCAAGACAGGCCAACGGGACCCCAAGATGGCCCGAAGAGCGGCCCAAGATGGCTCCAAGACGGCCCGAGGACTGCCCAAGAAGGCCCTCGGGGGCCCCAAGACAGCCCAAGGGGCGCGATAGACGAGCCCAGAGAGGCCCAAGAGGCCCCCAGGAGCCCAAAAGAGGTCCCCAAGAGGTGCCACGGGGGCGGAC